CAACAGGAGAAGTTCAATCTGAGCCTTGTCCAGCAAAGAGTTATCGGGGTTAACTGCCACAGCTTCAACAAGCTCATTCCATGACTTGTATTGCTGAACATCAAGATTCACAAGGTTGTCCTCAGCATTAGTAAGGCCACAGAACAGAGTCTTCCTCAACTCTGTAGCATCAACAGAGTTCTCAGTCATACCAGGGAATTTTGGCCACTGATCAGGGTCAGAATAAAGGAAAGCAGGGCCTCGAGTCCAATGATTCGGTTTGACTAGATCAGTCAGATTCTTGCCTCTAGTAATATCATCAGCTGGATTGCTAGTGGTGTTAACATAACGCCATTGTTCAGAAGCAGAGTACTCTAGGATTTCAGTAATGCGGTTTGCAACAAATACTTTATAGCGGCAAGTCTCAGAACGAATCCAGTTAAGTACTGTCATCGAATCAGACCACAGTATTGTTTGTTGAATGAGCAGATCAAGTTCCCTCTGCAACAGATTTGCCAATTGAACCCCGGTGAGGGCAGCACACAATTCTAGACGAGGTATAGAAATTGACTTACGAGGTGCAACTCTGGATCGGGCCATCACAAAGGAGACTAGAACTTCACTCTCCTGATTCACAATCCTTAAGTAGGCCACTGACCCATAAGCCAATTCTGAGGCATCACAAAATACGTGCAATTCCCTCCTAATGGAATTTCCATCAAGATCAACAGGACCATACATTCCTGATGAGAATTTGCTGAAGAAATTGTAAAGTTCACACTGGCTCCTCTCAGTACCTCTGTGTCCTGACGCACAGTTCTTAACACTAGTGATTCAGCTGTGCCCTCCAATCCAAGTTGCTGTGCTGCTAGAGGTAAAAGCCTTGGCATATCTAGAGACACCATCCACCATGTCTCTTGTTGTCAACCGGTCAAGACAATCCAGGGCATACTGGTCTTGTTTGGACCGTATACTAGTCTTTTCACTCTTGTAGGGAAACACGTCCACTTGCCACAACCGCTCTACATCCTGTTGGAGCTGAGAGGAAATAGAAACCCCAGAAAGAAACAGACATTGGGTTTCCGTCTCATTTGATTGAGCTGACGATACTGGACCTTGAAGAGCCCATCCCAATCTGGTATGAACTGCGGCTGGTCCCCCATGAGGGCTAAGACGAACTTTCTCTACTGGAGCTAGAAGATACGGATGATCAGCACCAATCAAAAGCATAGGCTGGACTTTATTAAATGGTTCCAGTGGAAGTCCATTTAGATGCTTGAATTGTTTTAGAAGACTAGGCATGGGATAGGATTGCTCAGGAAGGCCCAATCCCTGTGAAGTAAAAGCCCCTTGGATCATCTTTAACATTATAAATTGTTTAGGATCCTCTTTATAGAGATATGGAAATGAAGGTCCTTCAATTCGACATGATCTTGGAGAATAACGTACCTGGGCTCTTGGCTCATATCCTGTTTGAGAACTTGAAACAGGCTGTTGAACCAAAGACTGAGAAACACAAGGTATAGGATTATTCTGTTGCATCTGATTACTTTGGTGTTGCACAATAGGTCTCACAAGAAGAGGTGAAGGTAAACTGGGCATAACTAATGGTAATGAAGACTGAACATCTTGATTTCCCTGCTGGACACAATCAGTCATATTTCCACTTTGAGCTGTAATGGGTACAGATGATTGAGTAATCGTGCTGGATGCCAAAGATGTAAATGGAACAGGTAATTGACTAATAGGAGGTTCAGTTCTAACCACTGAATTATGCAAAGCCTGCTGTGAGAATGGTAGATACTGAGACGATGCCATAGTACCCTGGGGATCTTGTGCTTGTTGATAAACAGCATTCATAGGAACTGACAAATGACTTGGATACAAAGGACCTGGTACTGGTGGCCAAAATCCAGGATATACTGGGCCAAACAATGGTGGATTCATAGCCCAAGGAGGGATCGATGGTTGCACTGCAGGTCTAGATGCATAAGACTGACCTGATAACTGATAATGCGCATCAACCCAAGGATTTAGAGCATATAAATTAGGGGGCATGAACTGACTGGCCGGATGCTGTGAACTTCCCATCAAAGTAGACAAATGAGGAGCATGAGGGCTCTGAACTGCAGAAAGTTGCCTTGACACTGGATGGCTAACAACATTCCCATCAGCAGGGACTTGATTAACTTGTGATACATTCAAATCAGGAGCTAACTGGGATTGAGGAGTCAGTACCATAGAAGAAGGAGGTGGAGGCAGAGAGGACGCTCTACTCACACATGGCGGTAACTTTAACTCGGGACTAGCTTTCGCATGATGTTGTTCCTGTAGATGAACTCGGAGCTCTTGAGCTAATGCTGCAGCTGAATCAATCCCCATAGAAGGGATGAAAGACTCCTTATCAGGTGAGGGTAATGCAGATAAATTTTGGCTACCTTCTTCAGATGACCAAGAACTTCCTGAAGAACACATCCTATTAACTCTGGAATTTATCTGCTTCACACTTCGGCCTAATTCCATAACAAACTCCTTCAACTGCTTCATTTCCAGTAAGATAGGGTCACAAGGTTCAGAATATAACTCTCTCCGGCATCTTCACTACTGCTTTGGACTGGGGCTAAGGAAACTGACTGGCTAGTTCGAGGAGGCTTCAATGGCGGTAAGGTAGTCTCATAGTCCTCAAGATAGACTGGAGGCTTAGTCTGTCTTGAAGACTCTCGACGAGGTGGTATATGGCATTGGCTAGTATGTTGCTCTTGGTCCATTGGGATGCTCAACTCTGGCTCGAAGGCCCATGTAAGAGACATGTAAGGGGAGCATCACAGTGGGATGTCAGTTAAAACACCTTGAGGCAATATCCATTTACAAGTTTTATTTCACCAATGCCAGTACATCACTCGTTCCACAGGTATCAGACTGGTTTCTGAACTTAAACAAAATAAATAAATAATAATTAAACAATCAAGAAATTGCAAATAAATCCAAACCATACAAAACAAACAGTAAACTTACATCTGTACACAGCCACAACACCATATGGAATAATCCAGAGCAGTGAACAAGGAATGAACTGACTACTGCTCGGAAGCAACCCTTCTTAAAGGCCCCTAATTGGAGCCAGAATAGGGTGCAGCTGTCAACAGTGGGTGGAGCTACAATCACTATGTCATAGGTTTTCCAACACATACAGTACAAACACACACTCGCACACACGGAAACATACGTGTGTAATGTTTAATGTGTTATTTATTATTATTATTATTAATGCTATTAGTAGTCTTAATAGCATTAATAACTAAATACTAGTTTCAGTAGTTTTTGGCTACCAAAATTGGTATAGAGGACTGTGAAATTTAATATTTTGCTTTTGATTTACCATATAACTGCTAGAATGCTTGTTGAAGGTTTTGCTTAAGGTTTTATGTTTTCATATTGACAGGCTCTCAATATCACCACACATGTTCTCAAACCAGGTGGCAACTTGGTTGCGAAAGTAAGCTGTCTCATTGTCATTCATACTCTTTATTACCTTGTCAAATCTATAAAATGTTTTATGTGAGAAATGTTTACTTCAGTCTCACCTGAACGTCAATGTCTTTCTTCTGTGTAGATCTTCAGGGGAAAAGATGTGACGCTGCTGTACTCCCAGCTCAAGATCTTCTTCAGCTCTGTAATCTGTGCCAAACCACGCAGCAGCCGCAACTCTAGCATAGGTGAGAGGAGAATTTCATATGAAGAGGGAATACAAACCTGTATTGGGAATATTGTACTTTTCCAAACATGAACCAGTGTGTGTTTTTGCCCTTCAGAGGCATTTGTGGTGTGTCAGAATTACTCTCCACCTGATGGTTATGTCCCCAACATGTCCAACCCTTTACTGGATCACTCTTATGGTAACTTGTTCCATTACTCCAATATCAAAATAGTTCTTTCATATTTGATTGTGCTCATCTGTATATGCCATTTATTCTCATTTTATATTGTAAAAGTCTATGTATATGCCCAGTCTTCCTCCTCACAATATGAATGCAAATTTGTCCCATCCAGATGTCGACTTCAACCAGCTAGAGGGGCCAAACCGAATAATAGTTCCTTTCCTTGCTTGTGGAGATCTTAGTGCCTTTGATTCAGACAGAACATACCCGCTTCAGGTGCTAATGAGCTTCTTTCAAATCACACATACGTGTCTATGAATGAGTAGTCTGACCTAATGCATGGTTTGCTTTATTCTCAAACAGCTTGATTCTAGTAAAGAATACCAGTATTTACCACCCACCCAACCCCCAATTCGGCCACCGTACCAGCAAGCCTGTCAGCTCCGCAAGAATAACTTGTTAGCCAAAGAGGACTTGCCTTCTGGCGCACTTGATACCCTGTCTGCTTTAGATCTCAACAAAAGTCCAGACACGAACACGGTCACACCAGGAACCTCTGATTAATGGACATTACTGATTTGTACAGCTTCTGTTAAAATCGTTTCATTGTTTTATCATGATTGATCAACATTTATTTTTAGAGATACTCTCAGAAAAAAACGTGACGTGTTACGTCTTTGTACCTTATTTTAAAGTCGTCCCTATTAAGGGTACTATTAAGAGTGACACTCTTTCATACCTGTAAAGGTACAATTTCTGCACATTTTGTTGAAAGTGTTGGTTGATTATAATATAGTTGATCTTTTATGTATTTAATTGTTTCTGTAACTTTTTTATTACACTTAGAATTAGCAAAGATTCTTCTCTGTGATTGGTCCTTTGTATGAATCACAGAAACTACCTGATTGAATTTGAACTTTTAAAGGCACAATATGTAAGATTGTTTTATTAAAATATCCAAAAACCTTCATTCTACTACGTTAATAAATCATTAGCTCATCCATGAACATGATTTCTGCCCGAGTCCCGTCGGATTGCGTCGGCTGTGGGGATGAAGACGACAACTCCCATGATTCCACATTCAGTCACGGCGTCATCAATCTATGCCTTTATCTATTTGTTTATTTTGAATACGAGCCCTCTAGCCGCGAAAATTACATATTGTGCTTTTAACTGCAGCTCTACATGTTAATAAAACACACATAACCAAATTTACCATGACGCAGAATTTGTTGGTTTTATTTGTAGATGCAGTGATTCAAATTAAGTTTGAATCCGTTCTTGTATTTTTAATATCGTTTTGGCTTTAAAAGCAGCATTTCAGATCTTCAAAACAGGCCTGTGTATGAATACAGAATTAATATAGACATATTTTAAAATCTCAGAGTCAGAATGACTTTGCTCAAAGACTAAGTGCAAAGGTTAAGTGCAGTTTGAAATATGTCGTCAAGCCTGCAAGTGAGAAGATCTGCCATCTGTTTCCTTTCATTTGCTTGCTCAATGGTCCATGCATATTCTGGACAGTTTCATAACTGTAGTATTTGTCACTGTCTAAGTATATAGCCTAACCCAACAGCATTCTATGTTTTCTCGTCTTCTGCTTGAGTCCACTGATGTGGTCTTTTCTAAATTATTCTTTAATGTAGTTATGAATAATTTACATAAAAGTGGAATTGATGGTCATTGTCAGTCATGCAGAGAGAATCAGTCTTGCAGAGAACTCGCGTTCTCAGAGTTTGGCAGGAAAACAGAAACCTGTATGCAAAAATGGCAACCGTGCATCCGGTGTATTTTTTTTTAAACAATGACATTGTCATGCTAGATGTTGCATGAAGACCTGATAGTCCTAACCAGTGTTGCTGTATCAACTTGAGTACCTGAAATTATGATCCAGCTGGGTATATTCTGTAAGTGCTACATTTTAATCGTCTATGTACAGAGTATTTGTTTGACTGATATGTGTTGGCTCACCCTTTACATTGCTTATTTTTCAGTGAGTCTTTTTACCAAATTGGCAAATGCAGGTATGTAGTTAATGTTTTGTTCATGAATTATGTATTTTTAGTAAATTGTTGGTTTTCATACTGAAATTATGTTTTTTATTAAGGATGATTCAGATTACATCATCTTTTGCTTTAACACTCAGAAATCCACTGTAGCGAAATTAACATTTTTTTTTTTTTTTTTTTTAAACTGAGAACAGTTAAATCTCTATTTCCTCTAAACCTGTGTTGAAACTACAAGGGTTGGACAAAATAATGTAAACACCTGTAAATAGGCAATATTTCTTTTCACAGTACTTATGTGTTGTTTGGACAATTATTCTTAAGTGTTCCACTGTCCTTTTCATTCACTTTTGGTTTTCGGCCACTATTCTTCTTTGCAGATGAAATCTTGCCATGCTTTGTGTATGCAGTCATAATCGTAAAATGTATTGTTCTTAAAACACTAAACTATTTGAGTATGCTAAA